TGCATCCGCTCGGCCTCCTCGTACTTCCCCTGGCTCCTGAGTACAAGCGAAAGGTTGTTCATGCTGATAAGTGTGTCTGGATGCTCCTTGCCCAATACCTTTTCCTTCAACCCCAGTGCCTGCCGATGCATCCGCTCCGCATCTTCATATTTTCCTAACTGGTGAAGACCGTCACCTACATTAAATATAAGACCTATCAGTGCGTCCCCGTCTTCTATGCTCTTCCGCAACTCAAGAGCGCGCTGTGTATGCGGGAGATACCGTATCCATTCTTCTCTGTTTTCGTGTTTTGGAGAAGGAAACACGTCTGCAAGCCGTTGTAGCACTTTGGCGGCCCATTCCCCCTGCTCTCCACTTTGAGCTAACCAAGAGAGCATCGATATTTGAACTAGCCGATGGATGTTGTAAGTATCTGACTCCTTGTGCTGTGAGATGAATGCATATGCCTTTAGAGTCCCAAGTGCGTCAATGGTTTTTAGCCTCCCGGACGGCGGCAGCAGAGCTTGCGGAATATCCTTCCCAGCTAGGAAGCACATAAACCTGAGGTAGTCGGCTGCCAGCGGGTCGTGATCTGAGATGTGCCGGAACGAAATCAGCCAAGTTGTGGCGACAGGGTTTTGGATGCCCTTATATCGATGTCGGTCCTCAAAGTCCCGGCTTAACAGCTCGATCATATCCTCGTCACTGGACTTGCACAGCTCAAGGTACTCTGAAGTCGAGATCTGCTTCTCGGCCATGTAAGCAGACGCCTGGCGTATCGCTAGAGGGAGATTAGCAAGAAATTCCAGCAGCGCGTCAGTGCTTGTCATATCGCGCATCTGATCTCCCTTCAACCATTCCTGCAACAGCTTAAGGGCCTCGTCTCTGCTCATTTCCTCGACTGGGATGATGTGACTCTCAGGCCCGACTAGCTTTACCGCAACTTCGTGATTTCGCGTTGTGAACAGAATAGATCCTTTCCGGCTGAATGGAAGATAGTCGGCGAGGGCAGTAGCGCCAAAGAGAAGCTCCCTGTCGTCAGAATTGTCGATGATCAAAAGCCAGCTACCGGTACTTTCACGGCTCAAGGCTGCCTTGACAAGTGCTTTGACGTCTGCCTTCTCTTCATCGGTCCCGGGTACCTTGAGCTGCTGGCCGATAGCACGATATCCGTTCTCAAAACTAGTAACATCCACAGCGGGAACCCAGAAGACCGAGCAGTCCGGATGCGCGTTGCTGACGCAAAAAGCTGCCTCGAGCGCGATCTGCGTCTTTCCAACACCTCCCAGGCCTTCGATTGCGGTCCGCTGGCAGTCATCCTTGTCTACACTAGGAGGGATCCTCCCGAGGAGGTCCCGGAGAATCGCTTCACGGCCGACGAATTCCTTGTTACGCCCGAACGGGACGATCCAGTGCGGCTCGTCAGGTGCTTCACCATGTTAGCAGGAACCTAGCCGTGGCAGCCCGCTCAGAGATGGTTTACTCACAGTTCTTCCGGCTCTCGACGGCGCTGCATTGCGCAGTTTGGGATAGGGTTTGCCCTTAAGAGCAGATTTAGCCCAGTGTATGATTCTCGCAGAAGCTGCTGGTTCTCCTTACCGACTTGCCGTTCCCATCGGACCAGCTCTCCCAGCAGCCTCTTGAATCCGTTCTCCTCTGCAGAGGCAAACCTGACCATGTCCCTGTGGTTGGCGTGGATGGTAATGGAATTGTAGCCCTCAAGAGTCGCGGATTCCTTCGAGACGACTCTCCCGACCCTAGGCAAAGGCAGTTCCTCAACGAAGCATGTGACCTCTGGGGGTTGGCCAGCTTTCTGCCGTTCCCGTATCATTGACCAGAAGTTGGCTTGAATGAGCTCGAGGGCCTGGTTGTCTGTCTGCAAGATCTCG